TCTGTGTGCGTGTGTGTGTGTGTGTGTGTGTGTGTGTGTGTGTGTGTGTGTGTGTGAGAGAGAGAGAGAGAGAGAGAGAGAGAGAGGGAGAGAGACGGTAATCAGGTCTGATCGAATTGCAATCCTAGTCTCCAGCTTTATTTTCCAGTTAGGTAATGATCCAGAAAGATAGGGAGAAAAATAACTTCCTAAGAAAGTTACATGACCCTCAGTCCTGTAAGAGGAGCCAACTGAGGGGTGTCCCTCTGAAGCTCTGGACCTGAGACGGAGACCCAGCAACCAAGAACGACTTCCGCCGACAGCGCAGAGTGAGTTTCCCGCTGCGGCCGCCAGGGGAAGCGCGTGGTTGCCAGTGGGGGCGTGGACATCGGCGCGGTGTGGACGTGAGTGCGGGCGTGGGCGTGGGCTAACTGTTCCCAGGTCAGAGGTCACCACCCCCTCGAGTCGCGAGGGTCGTGTTCGAAGGCATGGGCGACAAGTACGCTGCGCTGCGGCGGGCCCAGCTCTATCTGGATTTCATCCACGCCAACTCGTGAGTGCCTCTGTGGGTCGGAGCAGGGGAGGGTCTCTGCAGTGAATAAGGGTTTTCCCATCCCCTAGCGGAACACTCAGTTCAGAAAACCCACATGAAATCGGTGTCATCGATTTACGGAAATATTGATGTATTTGAGTTTTTTTTTTTTTTTTAAGTAGTAAAAGAGCAATAAGGATATATATATTCTGGCCTAGACTGAACTGTTTGGTGCCCTTCAATTCCCCCAGGTGGTAGGAAGGCCTCGCATTTTATCATTTAACAAAACTATTTAATTTTTGGTCAGTAGAACCTAATTCTATGAAATCTGGCCTACCGTTAGTCTATGTAGCACATCGATCACTTAAAGGTTAAAGTTGCCCTTCAAGCAGAGTAATTAGCATTTATTGATTTAAACCTGTGTAGCTTCCTGAATTTTTCCAAAAATGTTACCTCTCTGAGGAACAGATTCTCACTTTTTAGTTGTTGTTTGGGCATGTTTTCTTCTCTGCCATGCCCAGATGGGTTTTAGAAACACTCATTAGGTGCTATTTCAAATACTGTCACCTACCAGAGGCAGGTGACAGAAGTTCTTTGTGTCATCTGTCATTCCTAATACAGCGAAGTCTAACAGTGCTGTGTGATTCACCACGCTTTGTTAATGTTTTGGAATCTTTCAGTTTTTTGGGTTTACTATAGGTACCACACTGATATAAGAAATGTACCATATTTAAAACCACAGAAATGGAGATGTAAAGAAAATAAGGGAAGGCTGGCCTTGTGTGGCACAAACTATAATTTAAAGATAATAGAGCAAAACAAGCAATATTCAGATATTTGTTCTTTATCTCTCTATTGAGCATGATTTCAAGCTGGAAAATGTGTAACAAATAGTTAAAATGTAATTAAAGGGAGATGATCCAGCAATTCTACTCCTGGCTATCTATCCCAAGGCCTGGAATACTCTCAGTCAGAGAAACCCTTGCACATCCACGTTTATTACAACATTATTCACAATTGCTAAGACGTGGAACAAACCCAAACGTCCATGAACTGATGAATGGATTGAAAACGTGTGCCACATACACACCTCAAAATACCACTCAGACATAAAGAAACAACAAGACCCTGGCATTTGATAGAAAGTGAACAAATATGGAAGATTTACTGCTTAAACGAAGCAAGCTGGACTACGAAAGAGGCATTGTCTGTCCTCATTCAATATATACCAAATGTCTGCACTCTATGGCAGAAACTGAAAGATTAGAAGGTATAAAAGCATGGAGATCAGCTGTGGACACCAGAGACAATGTGGGAGGAGGGTAGAAAATGGGGAAAGGTGAGAGGGAAGGAATCAAGGGAGAAAAGAAAGAAGCAAAACATTTTAGGGATACTAAAATGGAAACTGTCGATAATGATATGTGTGATAATATCTTTGATTGAAGCAATATACAATGTGTTCAGGATGGAAAAATTCATTTGGTATGCTGTAGTGACACACAGCAATTGAATGTAAAATAAATAAAAAGAAAGGAAGAAAAAACATGTCCAATCTTGGAAGGACTGGATTTAGCTCAAAAAAGTTCCTTAGCCTCAGTTTTGTAGTATGTGCAACTATAGCTTCTTGGTCTCACCCGTCAACCTACCTGTGTTACCCACATCCCCAGCCTCATTTTCAGTTGGTGATGTGGTAACTTCACAGCAAAAGTAACAGCAGAGGAAGCAAGAAGAAAATATCAGCCTCCCCCCACCCCCAGCTATTAAGAGATTTTGTTTGCAATATCCATCGGTAAAAAACAGAAATGATGTTTTATCTTTTTTTGCTTCTTTCCCATGTCCAATCCATCATTAAGTACATCCTTCTCTAAAATTCATCCAAATTCATCCATTTTTTTCCCAGTGTTAACAGTTTTAATCTGAGCCATCATCATCTCTCTTCCAGACATTCTCTCTTTCCATGTAACTATGCAATTGGGTTCTCTGCTTGCCATTCTGGCTCCTCTGTGGTCCATTTTCCTGCAAACCTGCCAGGTTTTTAAAGAGTAAACCTAATAGGGATCAGCTGGTGGCATAGTGGTTAAGGTGCTGGACTCCCACATGGCTGATTGGGGTTTGAGTCCCAGACCTGGTGGCCGGAAACTCATGCCAGGCAAGTGTGCGTACGTTTCCAAAATCCTGACAGGAGAATGGAGGAGAAGGAATTGTGGCATGCACATCCCCCTTATGGGGTGATTTCTCACTTTCTTTCTCTTCATCTCTCTCTGGCAAGTGCATGCACCCTGTAGCAAAAATTTCTTTAAAAACAGGTAAGCCAGACATGACATTCTGCTTTGAACACCACAATGATGGGCCAGCAGATGGCATGGTGGTTAAGGTGCTGGATCCCACATGGCCAACTCTGCAGTTTACGTCCCGGACCCGTTGGCTTGAAAAACATGATAGATATATGTGTATGTATGCCCAATGTCCTGAGACAAGAGTGGAGGAGAAGGGATTGTGGTGTGGCCATTTCCCCAGGGGGGTGATTCCTTGTCTGTCTGTCTTGCAAGCGAAAAAATCTAAAATGCAAAAAAGAAGCCCCACATTGGTTTCCAACTGCAGGTAGTTCCAAATAGGAGCTCATCCCATGTGGTCAGAAGCCCTTATCTTAACCTGCTCACCCTATTTTACCATAAACTGGTCAGCTTAGCTTGTATCCGCCTTGTAATCTTTGTATCTCCTGCTTTGTTGGAACGTTTCCATCCTCTGGGACTGAGTTTAGGGTATTTTTTTTTAAAAAGATTAGTTCATTTCTTTTATTAACTCATAAACAATTACTTGTCTTATGATTTGTTGAAACAGTAAGTTAGACAACATTTGCCACAATAATGCCTTTCAAAATGGCTGGCCATAAAAACTCCAGCACTACATTCATCTGAAGGGCACTCCCAAGGAAGGTGACTAATTTTGTAACAAGAAAGGTTTTCCCTGACTCCCACTGTTCCTCAGGCAGTTTCTCCATCTTGTCACCTATAGTGGCGGAAGAGAGTCCTTGCTCACAGTCTGCGATGTCCTCTTTCTGCGCTTCCTGTGTGCTTTCTGTGGACTCATCAACTTGCCTTGAGATGGCGAAGCCCTCTCTGTATGTACACATGGTCCGTGATATGTACATGATAAGAAATTGAGGTAGAAATTTCTGTAATGAACCAGTACAGAAGCTCGTGGCATTTTTGTCAGAATAGTTATAGTTACTCTCCTGAAGGCTTGTTTTATGTATTACATTTTGTGTATTAAATCATGTATTTTAAATTCATAAGAAGAGCTTATGGTTTAAAGTGCTGATTTTGTAAAGTATATCACTTATACTTCTCTTTTATGCCATTTTAGATTTTTTTTTTTTTTTTGGAGAGGTTTTTCACTATAGGGTGCATGTGCTCGCCAGACAGACAGAGAGAGACATAGAGACAGAAAGCGAGAAATCACCCTCCAGGGTGGATGGTCATGCCACAATCCCTTCTCTTTCATTCTCCTCTCGGGATCTTGGGCACGCACGTACACACGCCCGGCGTGAGTTTTAAGCCACCGGGTCTGGGACATGAACCGCGGTCGACTACGTGGGAGTCCAGCGACATAGCCATTACGCTAACTGCTGGTTCCCGCCATTTTAGATTTTTATACTGGCTTTTTCTTACATGAAGGACAACTTTATGCAACAATACCATTTTTTTTAAAAATTACAAACTTTAGAGCTGAATCAACTCAAGAGACTTTTCATCAGCACCTGTGTTTGAAGTTTAAAACTCAATATGTGTATATATATGTGTATTTTTAAGAATAAATTTTAAGCTACAATGTTGTTCTGTGGCCTGAGGTATTTGGAGACTCTGAGACATTGCAGGTGGTGCTTTCTATTTCACAAATGAACTTTTTTTGTTATATATGTATCGCTTGCTTCTATTACCTGTTTACGAAATAAAAAGAAAAAAAAATTGCATACTAAATCTTCCCTTAATGCTGCAATAAGGTTGCTGATTGAAATATCCACATCAGGAAATGAAAAGTAAGTGTGAGACCCAAAAGGCAGCTTGATTTCACCCACAGATAACCATTCAGCCTTCAAAGTGTTGTAATTAGGGCTGTGTAGATTGTTCTTTTATCAAGGGTCTGGTGGTGGGGGTGACCGTAGGTAATCCATGAAGTTATTTAAGGAGCAGGCTTTTAAAGGTGGAAAGATTCTACAGACAAATCAAATTGGTGGGGCAAAAGGGGTCCTCTGCCAATTCCTAGTTAGAAGATTGAGCCTTATGGCATTTTATCAGACCACAACTTTTTTTTTTTTTTTTTTAACATTTTTTTTTCCATGGGGCACATGTGCTTGCCAGAGAGGGAGAGGGAAAGGGGGAGGGGGTGGAGGAGAGAGAGAGAGAGAGAAATCACCCTCTAGAAGGGATGGTTGGTCATGCTTCAAACTCTTTTCCTCCATTCTCGTACTGGGACTGTGCACATTCATACACACATGCCCTGCATGATTTTCAAGCTGCTTGGTATAAGACTAGAACCGCGGTCGACCCTGAGGGAATCCAGCACCTTAATCACTATGCTACCTGCTGGTTTCCAGACCATGATTTTGATGAATATTCTTCAGAAACAATTTGGTCTTAAATAATATGGTTCTAATGAATTATTTTCTGAAGAATCACTACTTGAATGCATACTTATCCTTTATAATAAGGGAAATGCAAATCAAAACCACAATGAGATACCATCTAACCCCAGTCAGAATGGCTAAGATTTAAAAAATGATAAGTGCTGGTGAGACTGTGGTGAAAGGGGAACTCTCCTACACTGTTGGTGGGAATATAAATTAGTACAGCCACTGTGTAGAACAGTATGGTGGTTCCTTAAATACCTACAAATAGGAGGTCCAAATTGATCCAGCAGTTCCACTCCTGGGTATCTACCCAAAGGATAGGAATATAATCAGTTGAAAAAGTACTTGCACATCCATGTTTGTTGTGGCATTATTCACAGTTGCTAAGATATGGAGCCAATCTAAATGTCCACAAACAGATGAATGGGTTGAAAAAATGTGGCTCATAAACACTCTGAATACTACTTAGCCATCAAAAAACAACAGGTCCCTGGCATTTGATAGAAAGTGGACAAATACGGAAGATTGACTGCTAAGTGAAGCAAGCCAGACTATAAAAGAGAGGGATTGTATGTCCCCACTTAATATATACAGAATGTCTGTACACTATGGCAGAAATTGAAATATTGGAAGATATAAAAGCATGGAGTACAATTGTGGGTACTAGCAACGGTGTGGGAGGAGGGTGGGAAATGGGTGAGGATGACAGGAAAGAAATCAAGGGGATAATGAAGCAGAATATTTAAGGGACAAAAAAGGAAATTTATTTGTTAAAGTTAACATGTAGGATGGTATCTTTTTTTTTTTTTCTTTTGGAGAGATTTTCACTGTAGGGCATGTGCACTCGCCAGACAGACAGAGAGAGACATAGAGACAGAAAGCGAGAAATCACCCCCCAGGGGGGATGGTCACGCCGCAATCCCTTCTCCTCCATTCTCCTCTCGGGATCTTGGGCATGCACGCACACGCGCCCGGCGTGAGTTTTAAGCCACCGGGTCCGGGACGCAAACCGCGGTGGACTACGTGGGAGTCCAGCGACATAGCCATTACGCTAACTGCTGGTTCCCTAGGATGGTATCTTTAACCGGACTAATATACAATATATTAGTGCTAGAAAAATTAATTTTCATGATGTAATGATATACAGTGATTGAATAAAAGCAGAAAAAGAAAATCCTCATCTTGGTAAGACCTTGGTTTCTTTTGTAAAATGAAGGCAGCAGACCAGAGGACCTCAAGGTTTGCTCCAAGGAGACTCCTCATATAATTATGATGATCATTTACATGTTTATAAACATGAAAATTCTCCTTTCATACACACAAAAAAGACTTGTATATCTTCAATCCCCCTGAAGGAAAGGTGTGATCACATGACTTATTTTGGCCAATGAACCATGAGTAGAGTGATAGTTGTCGTCCTTTTAATGAAAGCATTTCCTTCATAGAACTCAACTCCAACTACCCTTTCCTTGGGGCTTTGATCATGGAAGTTCATGTTGAAATACAGCCCCTCTCATCCTGGCTCCCTGAGTGACTACACACAGAGGTCTCCTGTTGACCTTCATGGCATATGTACTATACATAAAAATATACTTTCTTATATAAAAGCACACAAATTTGGAGGTTGATTGTTAACTCCAGTATAACTTAGCCTATTGTAACTGATAAGATAATCCACTTCTCAAAAAAATAAGTAAGTAAAGCATTAAAATTAAAAAAAATTAACTTTACTGGGGTATAACTTACATATCATAATTTTTACTTATTTTGTTTATACAATGCACTTCCTTTCAGTAAATTTACAATTGTCTGACTGTTCCCACACCTTATTTTAGAACTTTTTTTTCTTTTTTATATAAAATTTTAAAAGATCAGTGTTCGTGCTAACATTAGTAAGGTCTGAAAGTCTTTATTTTATTGGGAATGGGCAGGATACTTTGGCAAATGTGTTCTTACTCCTGTCTTTGTAATGGAGAGCTTACTATTTCAGAATCTTGACTGTGCTGAAACAGTTGTTTCTAGAAAAACTTCTTAATTGATTATCTGTCTAGAACTGGGGAACATTTGTCTACAAATGCCTTGAACCTTTTACACTGATTACACAACTAGTTTAACTTTTTCTACTCTTTCTTTTTCAGTACCACTCACAGCTTCCTTTTTGGAGCATTGGCAGAATTACTGGACAATGCAAGGTAAACTTCATCTGTGAATAAGAGTCATTGAGGACCTTCATGACTTAAATTTAGTCTCTCTCTGTTTCTATTTGTTTATCTATATGCTTATTTATTTCTTCAGAGAGATAGAGAGGCAGGCACTCTTAACAGGGTCCTCATGCCCTGGCCCACCTCCCCACCCCCAGCCAGCTCAGATCATGGGCACACTCATGCCCAGTGTACGGGGAAACCTCAGGATGCAGACCTGGGACCTTCCCATGTGGGTTCTGCAATGCAGAACATTGCATCACAGCTGGGTCACCATGGCTGGTCGCTGGTCTAATTACATTTGGAAATAAAAAGATAATGACATTTTTTCCCCCTAACTGGAGTGTCTTTTGACTTGATAGCCCATAAAAATCATATTACAGGTGAGAAAGTGAATTTTTTCACCTTTACTTAATATGTATTTATGATCAAACTTGGAAAACAGGTAAATAAAATCTTGGTTTTGTGTTAGTGACCATGTAATAGCAGATATTCATTTAGATTTTAAAAATTATATGTCAATGTATGCTTTGTCTTTAAAATTTAATTTGGATTTGGACATTTATTGAAATCTGGGTTGAAACAAATTATATAGTTAAGAAAATAGGTAACTGTTGCTTATCTCTTACTGTGTATCAAACATCCACAAATACTTTCTGGGTATTAACTCATTTATCTTTATGACAACACTCTGAGGTGGGCATTATCTCATTTCTACATATGTGGAAATTAATACACAGAGGTTAGATGATTTATTTGTCACACATTTAATATTTGGCAAAGCTAGAATTCAGACTGAGGCCGTCTGGCTTCAGAACTCCATTATCCCATCTTACTGTCTCTGAGAAAGATACTGCTATTTAAGGAGCCCTCTAACAATTTAAGTTCTACTCAGTATATTTCTCTTCCTTCTCCTCCTTCTCCTTCTTCTGTAGTATTTAGAACATATTTTAATGAAACACTTTCTCACCATCTTTCAATAACAATGATTTGTATTTTCTAACCTCAAACTGCTATGGCATCAGTACCTCACCACTTCTGGCTCCATGGGTTTCAAAAGCTACTGCACCACTAACTCACCTGTAATCTTGAGGCATGTGTTAGACACATTCTCCTCTGTTGGAAGCCCTTGGGGCAATCTTAGGGGCTGGATTACTTTTTTAAATAATTAGAGAGAGAGAGAGACAGGGAGAGTGAGAAAGCAAGCTGCCAGGTCCAGGATTCGAACAGTGGTCGGCTATGTGGGAGTCCAGAGTTCTTAACTACCATGACACTTGCCACTCCCCAGGGGCTGAATTCTTACCAAATGTTTTACTACTTTCAGTTTCACATTCACCGAGGGGATATCCTTATGAACTTGAGGGGTACGTGCTTTTTCTAACCCAAGCATCTTTATATCTTTTTCCTAGTATGGATGCCTTTTTGCACTTTTATTCTGATAACAATGTGCAGTTTATGAGGGTGCTGTGGATCCCCACTGTGTTTTTCACGATTGGCAGATGAAGGCTGAAATGCTTTATCTGGTATTCTTGACCTGGTAAATGTGTGGCGAATCCAGTCTGTGCAGATGAGAGACTCCGTACCTTTTGTCACCGTTTGTAGACTGCCTGGAGACCTCTCAACTATTGAGTACAAAATCTCTGCCATAGATGTAGCTACTGTTCTCTCTGAAAGCAACGCCCACTAAAACATTCAGCATGAGTCTTTTCAATAGTATATTTCTGAAGACTTCAAGGGACTCTATTTTTAGCTAAATTAACTGGTATTTGACTTGTTATATGTTTGTATTTCCCTAATACCAGAAGATTTTTCCCCTCCCTTTTCTACAGAAAACAAAGTCCACCCAAGAAATAGCGTGTAGTTGTTAAATCAGGAATCTCAGTAGTGGGACCCAGATTCCCTGGCACTGGTTGATAACTGTGTTACAGCTTTTTGTGTTGTCTACCAGTTTTAGCCTTAGAAAGCACATGGGCCTTCTGAGTTTGTGACTAGCAGAGTGCAGTAGGTTAACCAGACGTCCAGAAATTCCTTTCTGACACTGTCCCTAGCACTAAGTAAAAATTCTCCAGCTCTTCCTTTTTGAAACCCTCTCTCTATGGAACTAAAGGAATCATAAGGAAGTGGAGAGAGAAAAAGAATAAGTTTGGTTGGTCAGGACAGTCACAAATTCAACTTAGAACTAACAACAGTGACAGCAGGTGGCATGGAGATTAAGGCAGCTAGATCCCACTTAGCCAACTGCACCGTCAAGTCCTGGACCCAGCAACTTGGAGAGCACATTGGGCATGTGGGCATGTGTAACCAAAAATCTCAAGGGAGAATAGAGAAGGGATTGTGGTGTGGCTATCCCCTCGGGGTGTGTGTGTGTGTGGTGATTTCTAACACACTCTTGATCTCTCTGTCTCTGTCTCCCCAGTGAGCACATGCACCTGTAGCAAAATAAAAATAATAATAATAGTAATAATAAAAATTTTTAAAAAGAGCTAATAGGGATGGGGCTGAGATGGATGAACCTTTTTGGTTAGTTTCACTACAGGAGTTCAGGGTTGCTGCTATTGCTTCTGCTCAAGGCTTTGATCCTCCTCTCTCCATTTTTTCTACTTCCTACTGAATGGTCCATTTTCATTTAACTTGGCATCTGTATTGATATCTGTAACTCTGAAAAGGCAAATCTCACATCAATATCTATAACTCTGAGAGAACACATTTGTCTGTTTTGCCAACTGCCTTTTTTTTCCCTCTGAAGTTGTTTCATTCATTCAACAAAGGAGATCAGATAAAACTAGGATGCAGAAAAAAATGAGAAAAGTGGACAATTTATGTAACAGAGGCTGATTGGGTTTTTGAGAAATAAAAACTTCAGACTCAGGGGAGTGTGAGAAGTGGGACCAAGAGTGCTATGATTAGAGCAGCAGATGTAAACTAGCAGCCTCTTGACCAGGTCCAGCCTGTCTCATGTTTGCTTGGCTCATAGTGAAAATTTGCACAGCATTTATAAAGAAAAAAAAAAAGAAAAAGGAATAGTTTGAAAGGGTTAAGGAACATGAGATGCCAAATGAGAGATCTGGATCCCCTGTTTCCTTTGAAAGATTGGGAAAAGTTGTAGTTTGGAGGACACATTCTTCCTTGGGATCAGGGGCAGCAGGTGTTCTCTTGGGACTAAACTATACCTTCCATTTTGCCCCATTCCTCAGTATTCCCACATGGACAACCTGTGCCCCTCAGTTCTCTGTCTTCAGTGGATACTTAGATTTGCTGCCACTGCTTAGATGCTGGTATTTGACATCAAATGATGATACAGATATTCCACATGCTCAGCTGGTCTCACAGAGGTCTTTATAAAGTCCTATGTTACTCTAAGAGATTTTTTTCTGTAATTCAATATCGTGGTGATTTTCTATCATTAGAAAAATTAGAACTGAAAAATATTAAAAGAATACTGTAGAAAGAGTAGAAAATGTGGTTGTATAGGAAAGGATGGTTAGGGGTCTCCTCCTAATGCAGCAGCTATTCAGAGATAAAGTGTGCTGGGCTAAAGCACAAGGGTATTCTACAATATATTAACTTTTTTTCATTAAGAAAAAAAAACACCCTTCTTTTTATTGCTAGGTGGCATGTATGCATGTGTATGAGAGAGATATAGAAGGCATCCCCCAGTGGGATGTGGTCACACTGCAAGCCATTTCTTCAATTTCTCCATCTAATCGGGATTTTGGACATAGATGCATGTGGTCCCAGGGTGTCTTTCAAACCACCAAGGGCCAGGATTCAAACTGCAGTTGGCCCTGTGGACTGCAGCTCCCCACATACATTTAGCAACTCTCTTCTAGGACCAGTCCTCTTTAACTTTTTTTTAAAGCTAAAATATGTCATGAAAATGGTTCTGTCACTTCTGAATTATTCTATGGCCAGTTTTTTTTTTCTTTTCTTTCTTTCTTTATTTTAAATTATTTTACATTCATTCACTGTACATCATCACAGCATACAACATGAGATTTTCTGTCCAGAACACACTGTATACTGGCTCAGTCAAGGTCATCCCTATATACTTTATCGTCAACAAACAAATTTCCATTTCTTGTTTCTTTTATTTTTTGCTTCCTCTTCCCCCTACCCCCTTGATTCCCTACCTTTCACCCTCTGATATTTCCTTTTCTTCTTCCACACTGTCTCTGGTATCTACAATTGCCTTCTGTACCCTTTTTTCCCTTCACATTTTATTGATTTACAAAAGATCTTTATTAACCTAAATACTTTCAATACCAAGTGAAACTGATATATACATATTTATGAATATACATCTGACTTTAGGCTTAAAACTCAGTGAGTAGAATGAATATATGATAAAGTAGCATCTAGCTGAAGCTATATAGCTTACTGTGGTCATTAAATAGATATTTTAAATGTATTTTTTTTTTTATTTTGAGAAAAGCAGTGTTAGCATTAATAAATAAAAAAATGCTAAGAGAAATTTGCTTAAGACTTTAAGTCATGAAAAAAGATTCTGTTCAAACAGTAGGTATATGGATCTATCAACCACTCAAAAGCAGACAAAAATCCTTAAATCGGAATAACAGAGCATAGAGGAAAATCAGTAATGTTTTAGTCGAAGTCATAAAATTCTGTTTTGCCAGTTCAGTCTCATGTAATTAATCTCTCTTCTGTTGAATTTGTGGTGTTACTGTCTCATCATTCCATTTAAATTCTGGAAGTTGGGCATTTTCTTGGTTGTTTTTTAGACTCTCATTTTTGTGTGTCTTTAGTTTTCCTGGTATAGCACTCTGTTCAGAACTTCTTGGAGAGCTGATCTGGTATTGGTAAATTTTTTCAGGTTTTGTTTATCTGAGAATGTTTTTTGTCTTTTCTTCTTATATGAAGAATGATCTTGCTGGGAGTATAGTATTCTTGGTTGAAATTGTTTTTCACTTAACACTTTGAAAATATTTTCCCATTTTTTCCTTACTTTCATTGTTTCTGATAAGAAGTCTGAAGTTAGTCTGATGGGATATCCTTTGTAAGTAACTTGATGTCTCTCTTTTGTCAATTTTAGTATCCTGTCTTTGTGGTTTTGGTCAATCTGATTATGAAGTGCCTTGGCGAAGATCTTGGGTTGATTCTATTTGGAGTCCTTTGTATTTCTTGTGTCTGGATATTTGAATGCCTCTCTAAGTTTGGAAAGTTTTCTTTCAGGATTTCATGGACTAGATTACCAATGCCCTTATTAATTTCTTCACCTTCTGGGATACCAATTATCACATGTTTGAGTGTTTAATGGTATCTAGTATTTATTGTATATTATTCTCAATTTTGTGGGTTATTTTCTTGGTCTTTTTGGTGAATTTTTCTAGGTCAGAGGTTCTGTCTTCTACATCTGAGTTTTGATCTGCATGATTTAATCTTCTTTTAATACTTTCAAGGGAGGTTTTGATTTCCTGTATTATAGCCTTCATCTCTAACAGTTCCATTTGATTATTTTTTATGGTATATATTTCCTGTTTCAGATTGTGCAAGAACTTTCTCACCTCCTGGAACTCTTTGACTCTTTTCTTCTGCATCTTCTGGCTTTCATTATCTCTCTTCCCTTGCATCTCTGTTAGCTTTGTCACTATGAATATTCTAAATTCTTTATCTGACATTTCCACAAGTTCCATTGAACTGTCTGTGGATAATAAGGAGTTATTCTGTTCTTCGGGGGAGAGAGATTTTCTTGGTTTCTCATATTTTTTGTGCCTCTGTGGTAGTTTCTGGTCATCTGATGGATTATACATTTTTTCTTAATTTCTTGGAGTTAAATCTGAGTGTTCAGAGGTGTGCAAGAGGAGATGATCTGTGATCTCCCTGCAGTTCTGTTTTTTTTCCTTTGTGTAGCAGATTCAGTGGAAATTGAAACTCTCCCTAAAACTCTTCAGATATTTGGCTACTGTGCACCAAGACCTGTCTAGACACTCAGTATGTGAAGATTGACCGTATGTTGGGGTTCAGAGGTTGAAATCTGAGCAGAAAATCTTCAGTTGCTCTAATCCCTGAACAGGGCCACTAAGTGCAAATATAGATGGTTTCTGATAGGCTCTGTGTGTTGCCTCTCCTGACTAGATCTTGGGGTGTGGAGGGTGAAGTCTAAGCAGAAAATGTTCAGTTGCCTTCATCCCTGAAAGGGGCCACTCACAGGTTGAATGTAGATGGCTTCTCAGACCAGTTTTTTTTTTTTTGTTGTTGTTTAAATCCATTTTGTCGATCTTTTTTTTAAAAATTTCAAAGTTTATTCTTTGTTTTAGATAGTAGATAAATGCCAAAATCATAACATGAAATGGAAAAGCAATGTGTCAAATGTAATAAAAATTTTAAATGTAATATATTTCTTTTTTCATTTTTAAAACTTTTTCAATTTTTTATTTATCATTTATTTATTTATTTTTATATTTTCCCACAAACATTTACTTTATATATCAAAATTTTTTCTCATACTCCATAGTTCTTGACAGTTAATAAACAACTTTCAAAACTTCAAAAACTGAATTTTAAAGATAATGTTTGAAATATTTGTTATAATTTTGTTTGTGATTCTATAACAATAGAGACAGTATGGTTTTAAGTATGTTTGAGAAAATATTTACATGTCAACTACTCAAACTGTCGAAAAGCAAACACCCAGCACATAATTCACATAAACCTTCTCAATTCAGCCCTGCCTACAGAGTATTCTGTGATATACCATCTGCTAGCAAAAATCAGTCTTTTTCTTCCTTCAGAGTCTCCCTCAAGATAATCCTCTGTTGTGACTGCTCTTCTGCAATCTCTACTGATTACAATGCTGGGATGGGAAAGTCCAGGTTATTTTATGGTACAAATTCTTTCATATAGCTTCTCTAATTCTCTCTGTCAGGCAGAACTGTTTATGTTGCCAGGCCGTCTTTCCAAGAAGCTTCTGATGACTTACTTGAGATCTACCTTAGTTGTATAGTTTTCTAGTTTAATCTTTAGATACAACATTTCAGTCAAAGGCCTGTCCAATAACTAGTGTTTCCCATTTTGTTGATCTTTTTGTCCAATCACCAATAAATTCTATCTCCTTTTTTTACAAAAAGTTTTGGGTTTTATAATATCTTCAAATTATGAATGATAATAGGCCTTAGTATGTAAATGTACAGTGAAACATTTTAGTAATTGATTTTGAACAACTTAAATGGATTTTTGTATTGTTCAATATCTGACAGTAGGTTATATCTCACATAAGCAATTCAGGTTAATGTAATTCTTTTAAACATAATTTCATATTGAAGCAATGATATTTTTATATTGTTTCCAGAGACGCGGGGGCTCAAAGACTTGATGTGTTTTCAGGTGAGCAAATTTGCCTTTTCTCCCTTTTTTATTCTTCTAATGGAGAAGCATGGGGTTATTTTCTTTTATTTTATTTCATGAAATCAATCCACATTCTATAGATTTTAAATGTAATCTAAGTGCTTTGTGAGTACAATGACCCTGTGGGGAACCAGAGTGAGAAAAGTGTACTCTGAGGGTCAAATTGTTCTTCTTGACAGTTAATAAACAACTTTCAAAACTTCAAAAACTGAATTTTGAAGATAATGTTTGAAATATTTGTTATAATTTTGTTTGTGATTCTATAACAATAGAGACAGTATGGTTTTAAGTATGTTTGAGAAAATATTTACATGTCAACTACTCAAACTGTCGAAAAGCAAACACCCAGCACATAATTCACATAAACCTTCTCAATTCAGCCCTGCCTACAGAGTATTCTGTGATATACCATCTGCTAGCAAAAATCAGTCTTTTTCTTCCTTCAGAGTCTCCCTCAAGATAATCCTCTGTTGTGACTGCTCTTCTGCAATCTCTACTGATTACAATGCTGGGATGGGAAAGTCCAGGTTATTTTATGGTACAAATTCTTTCATATAGCTTCTCTAATTCTCTCTGTCAGGCAGAACTGTTTATGTTGCCAGGCCGTCTTTCCAAGAAGCTTCTGATGACTTACTTGAGATCTACCTTAGTTGTATAGTTTTCTAGTTTAATCTTTAGATACAACATTTCAGTCAAAGGCCTGTCCAATAACTAGTGTTTCCCATTTTGTTGATCTTTTTGTCCAATCACCAATAAATTCTATCTCCTTTTTTTACAAAAAGTTTTGGGTTTTATAATATCTTCAAATTATGAATGATAATAGGCCTTAGTATGTAAATGTACAGTGAAACATTTTAGTAATTGATTTTGAACAACTTAAATGGATTTTTGTATTGTTCAATATCTGACAGTAGGTTATATCTCACATAAGCAATTCAGGTTAATGTAATTCTTTTAAACATAATTTCATATTGAAGCAATGATATTTTTATATTGTTTCCAGAGACGCGGGGGCTCAAAGACTTGATGTGTTTTCAGGTGAGCAAATTTGCCTTTTCTCCCTTTTTTATTCTTCTAATGGAGAAGCATGGGGTTATTTTCTTTTATTTTATTTCATGAAATCAATCCACATTCTATAGATTTTAAATGTAATCTAAGTGCTTTGTGAGTACAATGACCCTGTGGGGAACCAGAGTGAGAAAAGTGTACTCTGAGGGTCAAATTGTTCACTTGTTAGAGGACCTATTTACAAAATTAGGTCTTCCAGAGTTTAGTGAAAGCATTGGCATGATCTGGAGCAGTCAATTTGTCTACCAGGAGAAACAGTTTGATTTTAGCCAGCATATTAACTTAATGGTTAATCATAATTATACATAAATTGTTCCACCTTTAAAATGGAGAAGTGAATGTGCAGTATGAATGTTTGAGGGCCATAAAGTTCAAACCAAATATGTTTTCACCATCAAGTGTATTTATAGGCAGTATTTATTGCATTTATTAGTTAACTTCATTAAAATATGATGCTAATAAAGTTAGGTTTTGTGATCCAGCTCTGTAGTTAACACTACCTAGAAACACACAGAAAGAAGAAATTATACCTCATATTAAGTATTTAGGACTTTAAATATAATTGTAATTTTTGCCAAATAGCCTTGGAAGAAAAGAATATTCTTGTCTAAAGAATTATCATGAGGGGCTTGCCTTGTATTTAAGGCAGCTAGATCCTATGTGCCCAACCATGTGATTTGATTCCTGGCCCTGGTAGCTTGGAAAACACATTGAACACTTATGCTTACATGCTCAAGATCCCGATGGGGTGTAGAACTGGAGAAGGGGTCGCAGTGTGACCGTCCGTAGATATTTCTTGATGATTTGATAGAGAGCCAAGATTGAGAATTATTACTGCCTTGTACCAAATTCTTAACATAGTTGGGTTCTCCTCATTGAATAGTGAAACGTCATCCTTGGAGGTGCTAAACAGAGCAAATACATTAAGGGAAGGAGAATATTCTGACAGTAGAGGCAAGCAGGTCAGATGACTAGGTAGAATGAAGGAACTAGGACAGTGAGATGGTAGGTCAGATACAAAGGTTTTACAGACAAGAAAATAAACTAGAAAGAAAAGTAGGGAGCTTAGAAGTAGCATACAATGATAAAATTATGAATTCAGAAATATTAAGTATGTCCCTTATATATTTATTCATGGTTTTGAACATGTAATGAATAAATGAATTAATTAATTTTGCTGTAGGCCAAGTGAGCTTACTGGAGAGAGACTGGGAGTGGAGAAGTGGATAGGGAGTGAGAAAGAACCACCCCACCCCCCGCCAGAAAGGGAGATAACCATACACAGTCCCTTTTCCCCATTCTCTCAGAGTTTGGGGCACATACATACACGCACCTGGGGTGTCCTTCAAGTTGTTGAGTTTGGGACTCAAACCATGCCACCATGTGGGATCCAGCCATTCTAACCACGATGCTACCAGCTGGCCCTACTTATTTAATTTTTAAAATGTGATTTATAGGTGACTCAACAAATGTGCTAGAAACAAATCTTTGGAGACAGAAAGTAGATCAGTGATAGCCTGGGGACAAGATGAGAATTATGGGTATGGAGGGAGCCAAAGAAAAAGATTGCAGGGGATCAGGAAGAAAGATTTGGGATGATAGATACATCTACTGCCTGGATCGTGGTGAAGATCTCATGGAGATGTGCATGTATGTACGTGCGTGCATGCATGCACGCACACACACACACACACACACACACACAGATGCACACACAAGTCAAAGAACTTCAGATTGCATACTTTAGACATCTATAGCTTATTGTGCATAAGCTATTCCTCAATAATATTGTTATTAAAAATGTTCTAGAACACATGTATTTGTTGAAACTATTTTTGGAACCAGTTTGCAAACTATGCACTAAAATTTATCTCATTAGTTTAAGATATACCTTTAACATACTTTAAACCAGAGATTATGTTAGGTAATTTAATGATATCTCTTCATCATAAAAATTGATTCCAAATAACTTCGCCATTTTCAAAAATCAAACACATCTTCAAGAGGCAAATATTTGCTGCCATGAAGAAACATCAAGAAATGGCTCTTACAGGAATTAGCTACTTAGGAGGTGCCTGATTAATTTAATAGGAATGGCTTAGATTTATTTTGGAATTAGTGCTTTGGTTTAAAAGCATGAAGGTTGATCAATTTGAAAGAGAGATCACATCGTCATTTACCTTTTTTTCTCTCCAAGGGAGTGCATACTTGAAGTTTAAAGGACCAGCCCAGTTCCAGAACAGGGCATGTCCTACTGTATACATAATTTATTAACGTGCAGATGTTTTATGTTAGTTTTATGCCTTTTTGTTGCTTGCTTGTTTTTCTCCTGCAGTTTCGTAGGAAGCTGTAGCCAAGACTCCATTCTGAGCTTCATCATTGTGCCATAATTCTGTCACTCTGCGACTGCATTTGAGGAGGACAAATAATTACGCGAGCAGCATGACTTTCTGACGAACAAATTAAGCCCAATATTTATTAGTAATCACTGCTTTCTCTTACAGTGGATAATGAAAAACTACAGGGTGGGTTCATGTTGTGCTTCCTGGATGATGGATGTGGCATGAGCCCTGGTAAGTCAATTATCTAGATTCCTAACTGGCTGTTAAAGGAAACCAGCTAAAAACCCATAAAATAAATAAAAATAAATTGAGCTACCTATGCAGAAACAGGTATGGAGCTATTAGAGAAAAGAAACCACAAGATTTAGCTTATTGTGGAACTTTTTTGGGTTTAAATATCCTAGCTAGCAGAGCCAATTCATTTTAACTGTCTGACTGAGACAGAAAAATGAATATAAGTAAATATTGTCAGAAAAATGAAAGGCAAGTGGTACTGATGGTAAAAAAAAAATAATAATAATCAGAATGAACAGAAAACAAATATTAACCGAATGGACTCTGAGACTGTTTTCAACTAACTCTTTAGGTATTGCTTGCAAGAGCCCCAGGCAGTTTCCAATGCCTTTAGGCTATTTTTAATTTTCTGCTTAACCTTGAGGTAGAGATCACCTCAACTTGTTTTTAACAGGTTGCGTTTTTCGCTCTGTATGTTCAAAGGTTTAGTTGCTTCAAATGAATGTTCCCATCATAATGAAACATTTACAGTATATTGCATGACTTATCTTTGTATACTCAAGGTTAACATAAAGCCAGTACTTAATAAGTGTGCTGTATGCGTGTCCCTTGCAATTGGAAAGTTATTTCCTCTACTAAGGGTTTTGAGTTAGGCTTTAAGTTGTTTTAGGAATTCTTATAATATTTTGTGTTTCATGAGCTATGATTTTGGTCACTATGTTTAAAAAATGTGACAGAGTTCAAGTAATATGGAACTGTTCTGGTAGGTTCCACACTTGAGGACCATCACCATTGCAGATGTAAGGTGGGAATATAAAAATAAAACAATGATCTCTGGCTCTGAAGTTCTGTTTTGGTCTTGAATGGTCAAAAAATGTTTATTAACAAGTTTAGAAAATGCTCAGCTATCCCATCCAGTTCTCATCATGACTTTAGGTCATTTTGATTTGCCCAGGTCATTTTGATGGTACGTATTATTAATTCTTTAGTGCTTAAATATGTGAAGGAGAGGATACAATAGTCTTAACTTTTTCCTTCTAACATGAATGTTAAGGTTATTGTTCTGAATTCCTAAAATAAAGGATAGAATATATATGATACATTCTAAGGAAATTTCTTATGAAAGAAGGAATTCCTTTTATGTGGGTCATAAACAAAATGATCAAAACCTAGTTATTCAGACCTTCAAAAGGAACTTACACTTCAGTAGACATATATTAATATTATAGTATAAATAAATCACACTATTGTTAAGAAAGCAATTCTTAATTAGCTTTGGAAATCAAGGAATTAGAAGGAAAAATTTATCTGAAGACTGAAAATAGACTTTATCTGGGGCCAGTAGGTGGCATGGAGGTTAAGGTGGCTGGATTCCACATTGCTAGCACCATGATTCTAGTCCCAGACCCAGTGGCTTGGAAAATCATGCAGGTGTTTGTGTATGCATTCCCAAAATGGAGGACAAAAGATTGTAGAGTCCCCATCCCTCCCATGGGGGGATGATTGAGCAATTTCCCTTGTCCAAATAACTTCGCCATTTTCAAAAATCAAACACATCTTCAAGAGGCAAATATTTGCTGCCATGAAGAAACATCAAGAAATGGCTCTTACAGGAATTAGCTACTTAGGAGGTGCCTGATTAATTTAATAGGAATGGCTTAGATTTATTTTGGAATTAGTGCTTTGGTTTAAAAGCATGAAGGTTGATCAATTTGAAAGAGAGATCACATCGTCATTTACCTTTTTTTCTCTCCAAGGGAGTGCATACTTGAAGTTTAAAGGACCAGCCCAGTTCCAGAACAGGGCATGTCCTACTGTATACATAATTTATTAATGTGCAGATGTTTTATGCCTTTTTGTTGCTTGCTTGTTTTTCTCCTGCAGTTTCGTAGGAAGCTGTAGCCAAGACTCCATTCTGAGCTTCATCATTGTGCCATAATTCTGTCACTCTGCGACTGCATTTGAGGAGGACAAATAATTACGCGAGCAGCATGACTTTCTGACGAACAAATTAAGCCCAATATTTATTAGTAATCACTGCTTTCTCTTACAGTGGATAATGAAAAACTACAGGGTGGGTTCATGTTGTGCTTCCTGGATGATGGATGTGGCATGAGCCCTGGTAAGTCAATTATCTAGATTCCTAACTGGCTGTTAAAGGAAACCAGCTAAAAACCCATAAAATAAATAAAAATAAATTGAGCTACCTATGCAGAAACAGGTATGGAGCTATTAGAGAAAAGAAACCACAAGATTTAGCTTATTGTGGAACTTTTTTGGGTTTAAATATCCTAGCTAGCAGAGCCAATTCATTTTAACTGTCTGACTGAGACAGAAAAATGAATATAAGTAAATATTGTCAGAAAAATGAAAGGCAAGTGGTACTGATGGTAAAAAAAAAATAATAATAATCAGAATGAACAGAAAACAAATATTAACCGAATGGACTCTGAGACTGTTTTCAACTAACTCTTTAGGTATTGCTTGCAAGAGCCCCAGGCAGTTTCCAATGCCTTTAGGCTATTTTTAATTTTCTGCTTAACCTTGAGGTAGAGATCACCTCAACTTGTTTTTAACAGGTTGCGTTTTTCGCTCTGTATGTTCAAAGGTTTAGTTGCTTCAAATGAATGTTCCCATCATAATGAAACATTTACAGTATATTGCATGACTTATCTTTGTATACTCAAGGTTAACATAAAGCCAGTACTTAATAAGTGTGCTGTATGCGTGTCCCTTGCAATTGGAAAGTTATTTCCTCTACTAAGGGTTTTGAGTTAGGCTTTAAGTTGTTTTAGGAATTCTTATAATATTTTGTGTTTCATGAGCTATGATTTTGGTCACTATGTTTAAAAAATGTGACAGAGTTCAAGTAATATGGAACTGTTCTGGTAGGTTCCACACTTGAGGACCATCACCATTGCAGATGTAAGGTGGGAATATAAAAATAAAACAATGATCTCTGGCTCTGAAGTTCTGTTTTGGTCTTGAATGGTCAAAAAATGTTTATTAACAAGTTTAGAAAATGCTCAGCTATCCCATCCAGTTCTCATCATGACTTTAGGTCATTTTGATTTGCCCAGGTCATTTTGATGGTACGTATTATTAATTCTTTAGTGCTTAAATATGTGAAGGAGAGGATACAATAGTCTTAACTTTTTCCTTCTAACATGAATGTTAAGGTTATTGTTCTGAATTCCTAAAATAAAGGATAGAATATATATGATACATTCTAAGGAAATTTCTTATGAAAGAAGGAATTCCTTTTATGTGGGTCATAAACAAAATGATCAAAACCTAGTTATTCAGACCTTCAAAAGGAACTTACACTTCAGTAGACATATATTAATATTATAGTATAAATAAATCACACTATTGTTAAGAAAGCAATTCTTAATTAGCTTTGGAAATCAAGGAATTAGAAGGAAAAATTTATCTGAAGACTGAAAATAGACTTTATCTGGGGCCAGTAGGTGGCATGGAGGTTAAGGTGGCTGGATTCCACATTGCTAGCACCATGATTCTAGTCCCAGACCCAGTGGCTTGGAAAATCATGCAGGTGTTTGTGTATGCATTCCCAAAATGGAGGACAAAAGATTGTAGAGTCCCCATCCCTCCCATGGGGGGATGATTGAGCAATTTCCCTTGTTTTCTCTCTCTCTGGCAAACACACATGTCCTATAATAAAAAAGAGAGAGAGAGAGAGAGAGAGAGAGAGAGAGAGAGAGAAAATAGACTATCTGCTGAGCTGAGCTCAATTTTGACCCATAGGTGTTATCTTGCTCCATTATAGCCCATTCCCCACTGAGTATCTTGCATGGGGATATTTTCATTTAATGTACATCACTCTTTGCTGAAAATGCTCCGTGGTTTCCATTACTTAAGAATAAAATTCATGCTCCCCAGAATCACTTCCAAGGTCTTACATTATTATTATTATTCTTATTATTTTGGAGAGGTTTTTTCGCTATAGGGCGCGTGTGCTCACCAGACAGACAGAGAGAGACATAGAGACAGAAAGCGAGAAATCACCCCCCAGGAGGGATGGTCACACCACAGTCCCTTCTCCATTTTCCTCTCGGGATCTTGGGCACGCAGGCACACATGCCTAGCATGAGTTTTAAGCCAACCGGGTCCGGGACGAGAACTGCGGTCGACTACGTGGGAGTCCAGCGACATAGCCATTATGCTAACTGCTGGTTCCCAGGTGCTACATTATTTGACATCATTCACCTCTTTGAGCTTTTCTCATGGTTACTTCCTGGCTTATAACAATCCAGCCACACATGGCTGATCCCTTGTCATTTGAACCTCAAATGTCAACCTTCTGGAAGTAGCCTTCCCTTCATTCTATCAATAGGCCACACCACTGTTAATTCTCTTATCACCTTACACTGATTCTGTTTTCTTCATTTAATACTCTTAGAAATGGTCTTGTTATTTGTATACTTCTTTCAATCTGTTTCTCCTACCATGACATCATGTCTTTGAGGGCAGGAGTCATGATGTTCAGAACACTGGCAGCCATTCATGGGAGTTCATGTGGTATGTAATGAACACCGCAGGAATTAATATAGAACTATAGCATACCCAGACTCATGCTCTGGGTTGTAATCCTGCCTGTTTATCAGCTCTATGACTTTAGGCAGGTTACTTAAACTACTTACATTTAGATTTCCTCATCTGTAACATGCAGATCATAAATCTTCCTTGTAGGTTTATTGTATTAAATAGGCAATACCTATGAAGTATATAAAATACTATCTAGCACATATTAAACAATAAATGGTAGCTAATATTGTTGTTATATACACAATTAATGCCCAATACCTTATAAGACGATATGATACAATTTCCAGTTAGCTTTAGACAAGCAAGGTGTTCTATGGCCTTTTCATAACCGTTACCATGTGGTACTGTACTATAGCATGTTTGTACCCAGACTGACACAGCAAGACAGTCCTAAAACATGTATTCAGGTAGGCCAACAAGAAGCACTTGCTTTGTTCCGGAGGTTGGTATATTCTGAAGTCCAGAAATGTCCACTCCAGAATCCCAGGATGCCCTGGAGAAATGAGAAGAATAGCTGTCTGAAGCAATTAGCCCTTCTTCCCCAGGTAGTGTTAGAGAAGAAGCTGACATTTTACTTTTGTCTTGTATGGACCTGGATAAAGGCCAAGTCCCTGGGGAAACTCCTAGTGGTATATGCACTTCTCAGGTGCCATATTGTGTTCAGGGTTTCACAAATACATCATCTCATTTACTTTGTTTCATTTGTCTTCATCAACAACTCTGTGGTATAACTGTTAGTAGTTCCCCTTTAAAGACAAGGAAATTAAGGTTCAGAGTTTTAAACTCTTTCCAAGGTCACCTGGTTAGTTCTGCCTGATTTCCTGAACATAATACTATCAAGACAGTGGTCAGAGAGTATGGATCCTGACAAGAATTCTTTCCTCTGGGCTGGTCTAAGAGCTATGAACTTGTTCTAGTGTCCTAAGATACATGCAAGGTCCAGACAGCTGGACCTTAGTCCAGTCTGAAAGACTCTTCCTATCACCCTTAAAAGTCTTTGTCAATTACAGAGGAAGCTTCAGACATCATTTACTTTGGAACATCCAAGAAACGGTTATCGACCTTGAAGTTCATTGGGCAATATGGTAATGGTCTAAAAAGGTGAGCGTTTTTTCCCCCAAGGCATATTTTACTGATAGCAGGAACAGTAATCAGTTAAAGGCAGTCTTATACAGAATGATGTAAGCATGTAAAAGTTTAAAAAGACTATAAACTTGGAGGGAACAACTCTCTTGTTTTGAACACTCCATAACTATAACTGACTTGGATCTTTACATTTTAAAAATGATCTCTCACATATAAGAAGAATATTTTTTCAAGGATGCCTAGAACAATACCCCTGGACTTTAGAGCTTCATTGCTTTTCTATGTTATGAATATTTTTTCAAGGATGCCTAGACTTTAGAGCTTCATTGCTTTTCTATGTTATGTTGTTTCTCAAAGCATGTTTTAGTTTAGGTGTTGTGTCTACGGCTTATTATTACTTTTTTTTGGTCTACCTCAATGAAGATGAGGTGATGAGGACCACCTGTGCATCTCCTGTCAGAAACAGATAATTATTCTCTGAAACCCCCAGATGGACATATCCTCAGCAACCATATCTCAAGCAAGCATGCAAGGCTAGATCAGTTCAAATTCATCTGCTCTACTTTGAGAAGAAAAATACTTGTACTCTCTTGGTTATGGGACAACAAAATAGGTTATTGAAAAGAATGACTTGTTACAGCACATGGTATTATACCAGTCTGTTTCTTCTTTTTATAGTGTTTGAAATGTAAACTATTACATTCTTTGTTTTTAATATAGTGGGTCCATGAGAATTGGAAAAGACTTTATTCTTTTTACGAAGAAGGAAGAAACTATGACTTGTGTGTTTTTTTCTCAGACGTTCTGTGAAAGAGAAGGTCTTAGTGAGGTAAGATTTGAGGGTTTCTTTCTGTTCCTATGGCAACAATGTTGTTCTCATTTATTCTTCTGTGAAGGTGAAGTCTGTCATGGGTTCTTTCATTGGAGGCCTGTTCTGTTGACCCTTTCTTGAGGACTTTATTTTCATTATCCATGTGCCCAGATTCTCTAAATTCAGAGGCTCTTTTTGGCAAAATGAGCCTTTGGAAGAAGTCTGCAGAGTCTTTCCACTACTTATGCCATAAATTAATTCTTTTTTTTTTTCCCCTTTCTTTTGCCATAGTACATGTACTCACCCAGGTGTGTTGTGAGGAGGTATGAAAAATCACTCCCAAGAGGGGATGGCAATGTTGCAATCCTTTCTCCTCCATTCTTCTCTTGGAATTTCGGGCACGTATGCACACACATGTGCCTGGTGTGATTTTTAGGCCACTGGGTCCCAGACTCAGACTGCTGTTGGCCATGTGGGAATCTAGCACCTTAACCATTATGCTACCTGCTGGCCCTGGGTTATTATTTTTATTTATTTGTTTGTTTACTTATTTTTAGTTTTTTTTTTTCTTTTGCTGTAAGGCATATGTGCTTGCAGGAGAGAGCTAGAGAGAGAGAGAGTGTGTGAGGGAAAGTGAGAAATTACCCCTCAGTGGAAATGGCCATGCCACAGTCTCTTCTCCTCTTTCTCCTCCTGGGATTTTGGATACTCACACACATGCACCTGGGGATTATCATTTATAAAATAAATAAAATATTGGAATCAAAGAGTAGGAATACAAAATATAAGGAAATTGAATGCAAAATAGACTTAAAGCTGTGATTCCAGTGAACATAATTTTAACTCCATTTGGTGATCCAGAGGAATTTTACTAATTTTCAGTGGCAAATTTTACTATTATTAACATCAGTTACAATTCAATACAACAAACACATATTGAAGAACTACTGTCTGTTTAGCCCTGGATAGACTCTGTTGAAGGTAGAAAACAAGCAGATCATGTGACACCAAAGCATTGTTCAGCCTTATCACAAGATAGGGCAGACACTTAAGAATTGGATAAATAACAAAATGAGGATGCTGAAAAATAGTACTGTTTACTGGCATGTGTGTCCGTTCCTACCAAACTGCCAAAAACAATGATGTGGATTAGAGAGCTTGAGTGGCCAATTAGGGTTTTATGGAGAAAATACAACTGACAGCTGCAAAGTCTGGTATGTGGTGGGAAAAGTCGCAGCAAGTCCCAAACCTGGTGATGCATCTGGAGTTTGGAGGGACAATACAGAGGTGTGAGACTGCCAAATGGGGTGAACCTGATAGAGAAGTGATCTGTAGTCAGTGGGAAACAGTGATGTTTGAGCATTTATACTACACTGTATTGTATGTAAAAGGCATGGGGAATTGGGCTAAAGTTACAGTTTTCCTCAAATGCACTATTTTCTTTATCCTCCCCTAGTCTCCCCTCCCTCTTCCTTTCCTTTCCTTTCCCTTCTCTTTCTTTTCTCTTCCTTCCTTTATCTTTCTCTTTAACTAAAAAAAACTGCTTCCCATTTCCACATTCAGAGAGAAAGTTCTTTCTACTATATTAGCTGATTTTTTGATATTTACATGTGTACCTCATGGTAGCATGCTTGTGTTGCTACTTCTTGATTTTATTTGGTATTATACATTAACCTCCCACTATAAAAGAGGATTTATGTATCTTTTTTCTGCTCCTACCCATATGCAGCCTTCTAATCCTCCAACTCAGTGTAGCTATGTTGTAATTTTGATTTGTAAGAATTTGGTGTTTATATGACTGTATAAAAATGACATACATTATATTATGTCATAAACTATTACCATTATATGACTGTATAAAAACGACATACATTATATTATGTCATAAACTATTACTTTTTACTTTTATGCACAACATTTTATTTGTCCCGAAATTAGTAACTGACTGCTTAGTTTTTAATGTATTATCACTACCAAGGAGTATTTGCTTGGTTCTGTATGTTCGTGTCACTGTGTTACCCCAGCTCCTCTCCTTTCGGCTCATCTTCCTCATGCACTATGTTCTGGAGCTTCTTCCAGTGCTGCAGCTCCACTCCTGCTTTCTGTGGCTAGGGCTCAGCGACCACTTAGACCCTTCTTGGCCGTTGTCCTGGTGATTCCTTCCCTCTCTTCCATGTCAGATCTTAGCTCCTAAATCCCATGTCTCCTTTGTAGCTCTCTCTCTCTCTCTCTCTCTCTCTCTCTCTCAGTATGAGATTTTTGCTATAGGGTGTGTGCTAGCCTGAGAGAGAGATAGACAGAAAGTGAGAAATCATGCTCTGAGGGGATGTCCATGTTGTAATCATGTCTCATCCATTCCTCCTTAGGATTTTGGGCATGCACATGAGCATGCCTGGTGTGAGCTTCAAGCCACCAGGTCCACAACTCAAACAGTGGTAGACCATGTGGGAGTCCAGTCCGTTAACCACTATACCACCTATTGGCCTCATCTCTCTTCTTTTTTTAAAAAAATGTTTATTATTTTCTTCCCTGAGTATGCATGTGCAAGAGAGAGAGAGCACGTCCACAGCAGGGTTTTATGCAGCAATCCACCCCCAGCTTCAGCCAGCCCTGGATCATGGTCAGGCATGCCCAGAACATCCAATGAGGTCTCTAAAAGGGAACCTGAAACCTCCCATGTAGCTCAGCCTCACAGACCATTGTGTCTTCCTGCTGTACCTCCTTCTGGTCCTGCTGCCTCTTCCTGGTGCAGCGTGTTCTTCAGTAGCTTCCTGAGAAAGGTTTTGAGACTTATATGTACTTAAATGTTTTTATTCTACCCTCATGCTTACTAATTTAGTTTGGCTTGGTGTTATTTCAAGGTTGGAATTCATTTTTCTTTAGGATTTTGAAGTCATTGCTCCATTAGTTAGTTTCTTATGTTGTTACTGAGAATCAGAAGCCATTTTAATGCCTTAATCTATATGTAACCTGTTCTCTTTTTACCACTTCTACTCTTTGAAGGTCAAATGAATCTTCCATGTGTCCAGTGTTCTGATTCATTTAATGTTTTGCCGTTGTGTGGTCTGTTTATATCTGTCATGCTGGGTGCTTACTGGATTTTTTTTTAAATGTGGAAACTCATGCCTGAAATGGTGGGATAGGGCCTGCCAGTGGCATGGTGGTTAAGGTAGGTGGATCTCCCATGGCTAACTGTGCATTTTGAATCCCAGACCTGGAGGCTTAAAACACACACAGTGGATGCTCAAAATCTTGAAAAAGGGAGAAATGGAAGAGACAGGATTGTGGTGTGACCATGACCCAGGGGGATGCTGTCCCATTTTCATTTCCTCCCTGGTGAGCACTTGTACCCTTTGGAAAATTAAAAGATATTCTGGTATGGTTTACTATACATTAGATGATTTTTAACCATCTAATTCTTTCCTTTTGCCACTTGGGCTTCTGGAAATGGTTCTTTAATCTGTTACAATTTCTGTCTCCTATTTTCTCTTCTATTTTTTTTTCTTTGTATTTTTATTTCATTTTCTGGTAGAATTTCTAACAATTATCAAATAGTCCTTTCACAGAATTTTTTTCCTGTAAGTCATTGTATTCTTAATTGCGAATCAGTATTTTTTCTTAAAAATTCTCTGAGTATTAGTTTTTCAAAGATATCTATCTATTGGATTGTCAGAGAAGTCATGACGTATTTTTAAATGTTTTTCTACACAAAAATGTGTCATGGCTTTTCCGATGACCCAGTAATTCTTGTTTCATGGATAGTCTTTTCTTTGACAGCTCTGAAGACATATAGAGTCTTCAAATAGTTCATGGAAAACATGTATTAGCAAAAAGTATGCATGGATTTCACATTTTTTTTGTGTGCCAAAATAAGCTTATACTTGAATCCCCTTTTCCCACAAATATTTTGAAGTCTTCTTTTATTAATAGAGAATAATTTTTCCCCTTCGAAATTTTCATCTCCCTCTTATGGTTTTTGTTTCCTCTGAGTTGCTTTATTTATACTTTTTTTCCCTATTATATTAGAGATTTTACTTAGATGTTATTAATTCTGAATACTTTAAAGATTAGTCTAATAAAATGCTAATTGAAAGCTCTGGGAATGTGAGTGGAACTTGGCAGCCGTGAGTGTCACGATGATGTGATCTAACAAACTGTTTTATTGGAGAACCCATAATGTTATTTTCTTTGTGTGTTTCCTTCTGGGGTAGTCAGATTTTCCAGAGAACATTTCTGCAGTTTTCTGCCCCAAGGCCTAGCTGCCAGCCTTCTAGGAGCCCAGTGGGTGAAGAGATCGGTGGTTCTCAGCATCTGACATTTATATTTTCACTCAGTCCCTCGGACTTTAATAAGACCCCTCCAGCAACAGGGCCTGGTGTATCATGTAGGCCAGAAATAGGCTAAAGAATAAACATTTATCGTCTTTGGGGTCAGTGACGAGCTATAGCTCAATGGGAATCTAGAAGATATTTCTAACTCTCTTCTCCCCTCTACTTCAGAATGAATCTAGGCCATTAATCTTTGAGCCTTTCAGGGGAAGGGTCCTGGATTATAAATTAGGCTGGCTATTTCTGGCATGGCTTTTGATTTTTGAAATATACCATCATCTGTTTTTATATTTCAAACTTACTGATAGTGTTATTTCCTTTGCCACTCTACTCATCTTTCAAAAGGGAGCTAAAGTATATTCCATATGTCCCCATATTCTATAATGGAGTATTTCCTTTTATAATTGTCAGAAGGTGTGTGACCTCTCCAGAGAGGGAGGGAGGAAGAGAGGAAGAGGGAAGAAGCACCCTCAGTGGGGCATGGTCACGCCACAATCCCTTCTCCCCACTTATCCATCTTATTGGATTTTTGGGATTTTTTTTTTTTTGAGAGAGATTTTTGGTATAGGGACTGTGTGC